CACCTTTTGGTTCTGAGCCCACGATATTACAAATACCTATGATGACGCCGAATGAAGCTCGTACAAATTCGTACAAATTACGTACTAAAAGATGGTGTAGTTGTGACCATTATTTTATAATTTTTAACCTTAGGTGTGGTGTAATGTTTATAAAGTGTTGACCAGTACGACGAAATTTAGAACTCGAATCACGCAATATACAATCAACTGTTTTCACGTCACTGTGCATATATAGCGTGTTTCAATAAAAAAAAAATTACTGGATTTGAATTTCGTGGGTTTATTTTTATCACGGGTCAGCTCAGAATTCGTCGCGTCATCGGTATGAACTCGACCCGGCTGAGATGATGTGTCTGCGAATGATTGCCAATATTGTGATCAGAATTGAAACTTATCAGTGTAGTCGATCTGAAAATAATACGTCCTACATGTGTTATATTCCGTATATTCACATATATTACGATATATATTATCACATAATACGAGAGGTTATGCTACACTGGCTGCTGCTGCTCCCCGACTTGGTCCACTGGAAAATATGAAAAACTAACGTAAAATACACTGCGTTATATCTGTGTATTTCGATTTCAGTGCAGTGTTTAACCAGTGGCGATGGTCTGAATGGCAACCATTTTATTTCGATTTCCGTGGTGAATCTCAAAATATTCGTCACAGGACCTCTTTAAAATGCGAATATACGAATATTTTTTTCTTAGTGCCCCTTACACGGTGGTACAAAGGTACCATGAAAATGCCAAGTCACTATAACTATACCTATCATAGTTTTGGGGCTCTATAGTATCGCTCCGATCAGAATCCGCTCTACGTTGATTGGTCAATCAATCATTGCACGCTCGATTATATTATAATAAATAAATAATATGCTACGTGCCGTTCATGCGATGTTTTTGTTCAAAACAAATTTTCCAGTAAAATGATATCAAAATTAAATCCGGAGTTTCTGAATAAACGCCCTGGATGTATTATAGGTGCAGTATAATTGAGCAGCATTGTATAGAAAGTAGAAACCATTGTTGATCCCCCCCTAGCCACACGATACTTCCATGCCGCACAGTAGCTTCCCGAGGATTACTAATGCGTCTATAAGTACCTATAGAATGCACAACTAGTCACTTATAATATTATTGCTCACAGATTCCTCGTAGCTACCTACTAATAGTTCATACGCGGTTCTGTAGCGTGTTATTTAAAACTTAGAATTGATCGTAAATTTACATATTTATAGATGCGATAGAGCTATAGGTGATAGGATGGATGTTAGATAATGGGTACGGAAAACCCGAGAAAAACCTCGGTAAAATAATTTCCACGTCAATCGTCATAGTAACTAATTGTTCAATTTACTATTTAATTAATAATAATTTTGATTTTACCCGAACTAGGTTTGAAAAAAACATAGAACATAATATTTTGTTTGGGGTTTCTTAATATTCGTGCACGTTATAGTCCTATTTATGTAAGTCGAATATTTTTTATTTATAATTTATTAGAGTTCATCAAAATAAATCATTAGTAGTGGACTTTTATATTTTTATGAATATTATGAAAATTACACAATTCGTAATATTAAATAGGTATATTATTGTTTAAATCAGTTATATACAAAGAACTCGCTAATGTAAATAATAAACAAAAAACCTACCTTTATCTGGTTTACTCGGCGTTTTGTATAGGCAACATAAGTACATTACGGATGTTATGGATTGGCGATGTTATTGTACAAGTATGTCAAATTGTATGCGGTTTAAATATTTATGTTTTGAACAGGTTGTTTCTCCACACAAAACCAATTGTTAAAGTCGTTAATGAATTCGATATTTGAATTTTGAATGTTAAAACGCTGGTTTTGTATCACTCACACACGGTGTCTGCCTGGCACACCGAATGCCCATGGATCGGTTTTTAAGGGACCCCATAATATAATACAAAATTTACTTGGTGAAATCATTTTGCATTTTTTAGTGTTTATTACATTTTAGTCATATTTACTGATTTCACACTAGTTCACTTCATATCGTTTCTTGTCAACCATTATACCGATAATTTAAAACTTGGAAATTACCACTGACTAAGATTACTATCTATCCGATTTTATTTCGCCGATTACAGTCGCGTCGTCGCGTCGTTGTCGTGTTATAGTGAATAATATTGTACCTACATTTTATTATTTTCTCGTCATATTTTGAGTAATTTGTAGGCTTTGTGAAACGTGTATAGAATTTTATAGTAAAATAGAGTAAAATATTTTTAAAAATATATTTTTATTTAATTTAAAACAGATATTTGTCATTTTTATGTCATATTTGCATCATTTTTTTTAGATAATTTTTTAATGTTTTTAAGGTCATCAACGTCCGAGCCTTACTGGTAATAAACATTTTAGGTTTAGATTCTCTATGACATTCATACAGCCTAAACATTCAAAAACAATATGAAAAAAGATATGTTTTTATTTCATGAGGTACCTATATTAAGAAAAAGTACTCACAGAATTTATTAAAACAAATTGTTCAGTGTTCAGACGTCCTATACCAAAACAAACGGTGATAAGAAAAACTGCAGCCCGACCTATCTTGCTACACCACTGCGATAAGCTGTTCCCGGTTAGCCGTCAATGCGCGTACACGTCAAGTTCGTGTTCCGATACCGTGTGCGTTACCGCGAAACAGTCTTGCCGTCGTGTTACGTGATTTTTGTTTGTACCTTCTACACGGGAAAATTGAAGGCATTAGTTTTGTAACCAGGCACCATACTTTTACCTCACCATCACTTTATCAACCAGGCACCATACCTTTACCACACCGTCAAGTCACCATCACCCGCACCACACCGTCAATTCACCATCACCCGCACCCCACCGTCAATTATCACCGGTTTTTATTGAATTATTAATTTATATTATTGTTGTAATATTAAAATTATTGGAAAATAAGTTTTTAAGAGCCCTACGCCGGCCGGCACATTTTTGCCCCAGATTTAAATTATTTATTACTTTGCAAATAGTAGGCCGTCACCCGGCATAGCACTCACATCATTTGGTTTTTATTTTGAGAAGTTACCCATACCCATCATACGCAGTCCACAATTACCGTTTTACCCCACACAAATAAAATGCTTTATTTTCGACCTTTGTGTTTATAGCATATTCACTAAATAAAATATAACTTTTAAATTATTACAACTATAATACTAGGTACCTATAAAAAAAAAAAAATACAATAGATTCAGAGATTCGGCTTAAAGATATATTTAAAATGAATTATGAAAACATAAAAAAATATAATGATCATGAAAAGTTGGTTGATTTGTTCAACATCTTACTGTAATGCATGAAATTATGATATTTAAAAATAATCAAGAAAAATAAATTTCAAAAGTTAAAGAAAACCCTTATGGTGGGTTGCACGTATTGTAGCAACTCACTGAACCGTTATCGCAACAGTAAACGGTTCTGTAAATAAAACCGAATATCGCCCTATAGTGTTAATGGTTCTGTAAATTATCGATTACCAGACCTATAAGCTATACAGATCAGATTTTGATTCGGTAACTTACAGATCGATGAAATATCATTGATGTTATCATAGATATTGGCGGTTTAATTTATTTGGTAATCACGGTTATCAATAATTTAATATTTCTTTAGACAACACTACCATAGTTTAACACAATCATTAACTTTATATTATAATGAATATAAATTACAGGGCCGGTTATAAATTTTTCAGACTAGCTGTTACTTATACATCCCGCCCTTACAAACATAATATGCTCAACAGAGTTTGATGAAATATGAATTTTGAAAACAAATGTTTGGTTCACAAATAAATTTTAATACTCAGGGATCTGAATAACAGATTAATATAACATTTTTTTTTTTTTTTTTGTCAATTACCTAATTAATTTTATAGTTAATAATTATTGTATAGGTACCTACTCGCAAGGGTGGGCAAGTTAACTATTTTTTTTTTAACTCATTAAGATAAGTAAATAAAGAAAAATGTAAGTTAAGTTTAAAGTTAAAAGTAACTTAACTTAGTTAAAAATAAGTTAGTTTTTTTTTTTTTTTGAATAAAATTAATAATTATACCTACCTACCTTTTTTAAAGAAAACAAATAACATAATAATTCATTAAATCAATAAATGTCTTATAATTTTTAAATAAATGTTTGTAATAAAATAAGTTCTGTAGGTACTTATATTTGAATATTATATTTTATTCAAAGATGAAATCCAATAAAATAATTAAATTATTGTTATGTATTTGTTAACGTAAATGGTCCACAACTATACTAAATATTATAATAATCAAATTCATAATTATTTATTATAATATAATATAATATCAAATACTATGCAATTAATTGTAAGAATTCTATAGAAGTCTATAATATAGTTATATAATATTTTCTGTGAATATGCAATATAATAACTTACTATTATTATAAATGATTATTTACTAAAATATATTTAATATTTCGGGTTTTTTAAAATTAATTTTACAAATTTGAATTAATTTTAAATATGTGGTTTGGGAAAAATTAACTTAACGTCCCAATAAAATGAATTAGCTCGTTAAGTTACTGAATAACATGGGGAAAATGTATTATCTTCATATTAGTTAATAATAATCGCAGCATTGCCTTAGCATGTCTTACCATTGGTTTTTTGTTACGTCTCGCAGTGGTCTGAAACGTGGGGAAAATGTAACTCGTTAGGTTAGAAGTTACTTCTAAAAAAAAAGGAACTCGTTAATTAACTTAGTTAAAAGTAACTTAACTTTAACTTATAAAATCGTTAATGCCCAGCCTTGCTGATACTAGTGAATAGGTAGGTACTACATCTATTATTAGGTAGGTACTTATAGTTTTTTATTGTAAACCATATTTTAAGGATTATTATAGATAGTATACACATTTTAATATTTGGCTACCGCTCGAGACTGGCGGCCCGAAGACGCCGGGCTCCGGGCGCGTCATCATAGTCTGCTGCATCCGACGGTTACGGACGTTGCGCCGTCGTCGGAGGAGGAGGAGTCAGCTGCCGTCCCCACATCGCTATTATCCGGGCTCGGGTCGCCGTCCGTCGTGCTTGGCACGGCGCTGGTACGTGATCGTTCTGGAAGTTTCCAAGCTGCCCGCTCGTTTATCGATTCATCGTCACAAATAAACACGATTTCACTGCAGCCATGTGCGAAGCGACTAGGTCTCCGTCGGTCAACTTGGTCGGCACCAACTTCGGGTTTGGCCGGCGTGCCGGTAGTCACGGTGCAAGGCCGAGTCGATTGCCATGTTGTGCCGCGCTCCGATCCGGTTTTAGCGTTCGAGTCATGGGTTCTATCACCGGTGACCTCCCACGGCACTCGTTGGAACCGTCTGTACGGGACGAGTTTTCGCACTCGGCGTTGGCGGAGGACCCAGATTTCCATATCGCCGTTGATCTATTATTAGGTGCAGACCTGTTTTCATCCATTGTTGACGGGCGTCAGGTTGTTGTGAATAATTCGTTGCCCGCCGCGTTCAGTTCGTGTTTCGGGCGGATCCTTGTTGGTTCAGTGTCGCCGTCGGATATACCGATCCCGCGCAAACAAACGCCGTCGTGTCACTACTCACGTCCGTAGAACAATTTATTAATCGGCCGTTTTTGGCACATCGACGAGCCCCGTTGAAGTTTACCGACGCCGGGCAAATGCGAACCCGTATTCCGTGATAATGTAACGGGCTGTGACTACGTATATATTAATAATAGTAATAATATGTAAGTAATATATTATATTATGTGGTATTAGGTAAAGTACGATTATAACATATATATATTATGTTCAATAATAGACGTAAATGCTACAGGGAGCGCGTAACCCCGGTAATAGTAATAATATCAGCATCCGAGCGGTTATATCAAAGAGAACTAATTAATGACGGCCACATCAATAAGAACACGTGATAGATATAAGTTTCCATATTCTAGGAAAGACGAAAAAGCCGTAAAACAGCACAAATAGATAACTTTGGAAACATATAATCCACAATTAACATTATTTCGTAGAGGACGCCCGAAATGACGTCAGGTGTACGCGACTATTTTATACTAAAAATGCCATAGGAGGGATCTATTAGGAAAACCGACAAGGTACGTCGATGGACAAGTGTCCATCAGACGAACACCAGCCGAGACGACGAGCACCAGCAGAGCAGCCACCAAGTCGATACTAAGTCACATCCCGTTTACCACATTTTTATAAGTTAATTATTTGGACTTAGTCTATTTTATGTGTTAAATAAATACAACTGAACTATCATTATAAAATCAACTTGTTATTTAATTCAAAATACCATCAGAACTGAGTTGAAGTGGTTGGCACGTTACAAAAATGTTGTCCGTGACGAGTCCGGCCGTTTTTCAGTTCCATTGCCGTTTCGTGTGCCGTTCACTCCGCCGCAGGGACTAAAATTGTGTGTAGTACGACACACTTTGTGTAGTACGAAATGCTAAGTGTGGAATACGAAATTAAAAAGTGTGTAATGGCCTGTAATAACTACTATACTAGTTTTTTTTTACACTTTTTTCTTCATTAATTGAAAAATTATTTGATGTTTCGTTGGGAAATAGATAGATAAGAATTTTAAATATTAATAATAATTATTACGTATTATTAGGAGTCGATTTTACAAGTTTTACTCATAGATACAATATTTAAAATATTACAAAATAAAAATATTTCGAATAATCGATACAAATTAAAAATAATTATCAAACAATAGTTACTGAATGTAGATATTTACCTATATTTTTTTAAAAGAACCATTAACATATTTAGGTACCTATGTTGTTTCAAATCAAAAACAAAATAATGTTATTGTTAATGTTTGAACACTATTTATTATACAATCATTTTTTTAATGATAGCTATTCCTAAACTTTGTGTTTATTCATAATTAAATATTAACAATGTGGTAATTACATTAATTAGCTTTTAAAAAACATTTAATCAATCAATTTTATGTGAGTACCTACTATTGAAGTCTGGGATGTTTTTTCCTAAAATCGGGGATTTTTATTTCGCAATTCACCGTCTATAATAGGTATTGTATAGTATTATTATAGTTCTGTGCATTTATTGCAATATTATGTATAATACCGAATCAATTATCGTACCAATATACGGACATAAATCGTTAACTTGAGATGTAGTCTATACTCTGTAGATAAAGAAAAATAGAAATTGATTACTCTATGTTTATTGTTTATGTGTATAGATTCAATACACTTTTTTTGGTGGGGTGCAAAGCCCCTCCCTCGCGGTAACTAAAAGTTTAATATAAAATGTGTAGTACGAAAAAAATTATATTTTAGCCTATGTGCCGTTACCGTTGCATGATTATTTATTTCCCGGGTCTCGTGCTGTCGAGGCCAAACGATTCGATCATCTCGAGCCGAAGCACGAACGATCGGATGCGCACTAAGTACAACGATTTTATGTCGGAATACTTGTCACTGGGACACGTCCTGTCAGTGGCGTCTACTCCTGGCCGGTATTTTATTCCGCATGATGCCGTGTGTGTCGCCGATGAAAAATTCCGCGTAGTGTAGTCCGCTTCGGTCGCTGATGGTTCGTCATCAAACACATAGAGTTGTCACTCTCTGTGTTCTCTGATGTTTATTCCCGGGGCGGCTAAAGTCACAACAGGACATCGTAGATGTGCTCACGAGACTTCGTTTGTTCCGTCACGCATTTACCACCGATATTTGTGAAACTTACCGACAGATTACGGTCCTTCCGCAATGTCAAGCGTATCAGCATATTCTATGGCGATCGTCCCCGCACATCGAGTTCGTCGAATACGAGTCGAATACCGTAACTTGTGGCGTAAATCGTGCGCCGTTTCTCGCGCTACATATTTTGCAAGAGGTCCCTGATGTCGACTTCCACCCTCGTCACCCTTTGCGTCACCTGCAGACGTATGTAGACGATATCTGTTACGGCGCCGACACTGTGGACAACAGTATTCAAGTAGAATTAAGGGCTGTCCTTAACGGAGCGGGTTTTGAATTGCGAAAATGGGCACTCATCATATACATTTTTTTGATTTTTTAAACTAAAAAAATTTAAAAAAAATTAGATAAATTTAACTTAATCAACATGGAATGGGGAAATTATAAGGTTCTAGAGTTTTTGGATTTAAATAATGAAACCCACACTCAATCCCGATTACCATAATATAGATCGAATTGTTACTTTATTACGTCGCGTTTTATATTTTTAAATTTTAGATTATGAGTGGGATTAAAGAATACAATATTTATTTTACAATGATATTTATGTTTTTTTTTTATCCGGGGAAATAAAACTGCGTCAATTTTCTATACAGTGCCCTTTATTCTGGTAGGAAAGTGAATTTAATTACATAGTACCTACTTTTGGGGGTCAAATGCTTATCATAAGAAATCGTGCCTGTGTATCTATAATATTTTTAACTTCTATTATAACAACTTATGAGAAACCTTGTTCTAAATTTTTAAAACTATAAGAGTATAGGACCTGAGATCAAAAAAATGTAGTCAACATTTAAAAAAAAAAATAAAAAAATATTTTTGAATTATTTTTTTCACAGTAAATGGCGCTGTATAGAAAATTGACGCAGTTTTATTTCCCCGGATAGAAAAGAACATAAATATCATTGTAAAATAAATACTGTATTCTTTAATCCCACTCATAATCTACAATTTAAAAATAAAAATGTTATGTGAAACCTTGTTAGTTTTCAATCCTTAGCTATAAAAGTTGATAATGTAATACATTTTTAACTAAAAAATCATTTTTAAAATTTAAATTTGATAAATGTTGTCAAACTTTAAATGCTCATTAAAAAAAATTGTAATTATGGATTTTTAATATTTTTTAAATGTCATTGTAACTGTATATTAGAGCCTTGTATATTAAATTTTGTTGAAATTATTAGAAAAAAAAATAAAAAATTTATATTTGAAATTGTCCGCTTAAAACAAGTCAATATTAATGTATCTATTTTCATTTGTCTTAGAGTTACACCAAAAACCAAAATCGATTTTGTCAAAAACCGATTTTGCATAAAAATTCTCGTTTTTCCTTAATTTTTATTTGGTTTTTTCCTGCGCTTTTGAAAACTATTGGGAATTTTGACCTCCTGAATTCACCAACTAGATTCACTTTCCCATCGAACAAGGTACTGTTGAAGAAAATTTAAGTAGTTTTACCGTCCCAAACAGTACTCAGAAAAAAAATACAATAATAATAAAAAAAGTAAAAACACACATACATCATTGTAAAATCAATACATTTATAGCTCCATTCAGAATCTAAAATGTTATGAATTTTCTAACACAAAATAATTGGCAAATTTTTGTGATTTTAATTTTTAACGAATTTTGTCAAAATTCAAATTTCAGACGCTCAATACTCATAAAAAATTATTGTAGATTTATTCTCAACTTTTTTAATTTTCACTAAAAACAACTTATGATGAGCCTTGTAAATTGTAATATATTTTTAAGTTATTTGACAATGAAAATTTTTTCTCAGTAATTTTTTAAAAAAAACTACATTTTCTTATGCCTAAAAAAAAAAGCCAAAATATTTTGAAAATGTTTCCATGTAGGTACATAAAATGGTCATATTATTCGGTGAAAATGAAATTAGGGGTTTTTTTTAGTGTTAAACCAAAACCCAAAATCGATTTTTTCAAAAACTGGTTTTGCGTAAAATGCTGTTTTTCCTTAATTTTTTTTTTTGTTTTTTCCCGACGCTTTTGAAAAATCCTCTTTTGACCTCTAGTAAGTACCAACTAGATTAACTTTCCCCCCAGAAAATTCTTCAGTCGAAATTTGAAGCATTCTTTAGGTTACTTGTCGTGTAACATACATAAAAAAAATTAAAACAAAACACACATCAAACATCAATCGGTATGCTCAGAATTTAAAATTACACACTGATATAAATATTTATACAGTAAGTAATGTACTTATATTTAAATATATAAAAATATGTTTGTTTGAATAAAAAAAAAAAAAATAAAAAATAAATATTTTACGTTGTTTTACCTAGTGATGTAAATATTCATAAAAAGTTTAGGTTCAAAAGAAAATTGAAAAGTGAAAATTATGAAAATGTTATAATTTCTCATATTAATTTCTTATAAAATAAATTCTTTAAACTCTTTAAATTATATAGTTATAAGTTTATAATATATTTAACCTACATAATTATGTTTAAAACTATGTACCGACTTGTATTGCCATTTACCGATTTGAATATTATTTTAAAATTAAGTAGGTATACCTACTATTAAACTTAATATAAGAAATCCATAATTATTCAAATAATTTTATCTCGGTAATAAATTTGCATTTTAATCTTATGTTAAAAAATTTGTAATGTTACTTCAGATAAGT